TACTGAATAGGTAAGTTTGTCTTTAGGACTTATTACTTTTTTCAATATTGTTGTTTTCACATGAGACTAATTCTTAACCACTGGCATTTCTATTTTGTCCAAATTTAAAATACATTTCCCTAATAAACTTTCCGACAATCCATTTCTACAGTAAAACAATGCAAATACTCTAGTAAATTCTGAAACTTTGCATTTGAATATAGGATTCATTTCCAAAAATAAAGCAATCATTAGTTTCATCTCTCACACTTGTCATCAGAATACACGATTTTATTTTTTATGTGAATAAAAATTTTAAGTTTTATTTAAAAATTCTCTTTATGATGTCAAAGCTTATATAAACAGCCTACTATAAGTTTTGTTAATTTCTGTGGAAAGCAAAAAAATCTAAAACTGGCAATTAATTTTGTATAATTATTGAGAATATGAGCTAACATTATTTCTTCCCAAGCCATTTACTTGTAAAATACTTGTAAAATCTATAAATATTACTTTTATATTTTAAGACATTTTTATGTTTATACATTCTTTTTATACATACAAATATTTAAGTAAATGCTCTGTTTATAATAAACAGTATTAAACAACATTTACCGACCTTATTGTCCGAGAAATTTTCACAGAAAATATTCATCCTCCGACAGGATTCAAACCTGCATCCTATATGGAACCATCATTTAGTTTGACATGCCTTTACTGATTTGGGCACAGAGGAGCGTTCGGTTAGCAAGGTCGAATTGACTGTATTTAAACTTCAATCTTCAATGAATCTCTCACGTACATTCATATCTCCTCATGGCGTATCAAATGTAAACAAATGACGTCACACATTATGAAACGGACAAAGTCTGACAATTAGAAAGTATGAACATAAAAATGTCTTAAAATAATTGTCAGACTTTGTCCATTTCATAATGTGTGATGTTATTACTTTTAAAAAATAACTATTGATCAGGTATCATTTGTAAGAGAATTGTAAAAATTTAAAAAAATCAGTTTTAAATATTTTTAGTAAACAATTTGCTAAATACTCACCAAATAAAACGACTACGTTTTAAAGGAAAGAAGCTCATTGTTTTTACTTTGTCATATTTTTAAAAATATGGCAAGAATATTTGCCTCTAGGTTGACATTTCAGATTTGACTAAATCATTTGCATCACAAAGCCTACTGTAAAAACCTATGAGATATTAGGATAAACAGAACAAATTTTTTTTTCAATAACATGCTAACACGCAGAGTCAGTGTGCACCCTATCAGATACATTTGAGAACCAGTTTTAAAAAAGATTTCACAGACATTTCACATAAAAGCATTTTATGAGGCTTATTGCTGGAAAAAGATTTAAAATTGAAAAAAATGAATGAAGGACTCACCTTGCTGCTAAAAGCAAGTTATCATCCTTGACCAGGAGTATTCGATAGTGGTTTGGTCGTGTCTCATTTCTTGTGAACCACTCAACACCATTTCCCACACCTGAAAGGTAGAAGAGAAAAGCAATGAGATCCAGAGTCAAAACATCAACTTTGAAATATGAAAAAACAAAAGTAACTCAATGAAACATGCCTAGTAGGTAATTGCTATTTATTTATTTATTTATTTTTTTGGAGTATCTGTTTGGAAGGAAAGCTCTGGTGGTTTGCAGAATATTAATTTATTTACAAACAAGATCTTTCCTTCCAATCAAATATAATAAAACAGTGATGTCTGGAGAACAAATCGCTATGGGACCTATTTTGTTCTTGCTGAAATTCGACACCTTGAAATTAAATTTCCTGCTTTTGTATCCAAAGTAGTTTTGCAATAAGATGAATAGAAACTTGGGGAGAAAAATCACTTTATGGCTACAAGGAATATTATATTGTTTGTAGCAATAAAGTGCTGACATAAATGATAAAACCAAATGATAGTCTAAATGGTATGAAGAGGAATTTAAGAACATTCAAAAGAGAAGAAAAAATGGAGAAACTGACATTTAAAATTTTGGAAGATTGTAGTTGACAGGAAAGTAAGAAGCCAGAAAAAAGTGAGAAATACAAGAGAAGAAACTGTTAGAATAGAACTTATAACAATATGAACATTAAAATAATGTGACCTATCTGCCAATCTAGTATTATATGTGAAGTTATCAAGTCAATGTATGACAAAGGAAAACTCATCAGAACAATCATCATAAAAATATTAATAGCAAAAGCAGCCACAGGGAGGCTATGTTGTGTTGCCAGGCAGGATGGATAACATTGTAGATTTTTCTTTTGATTTTGTTAAGAATACCAAGACACATAACAGAAACACCAGACCAAGTGTAGCAACAATACTCAATGTATGGACAAATGCTAGACGAGTTACAAGATAAATTCTGGCAAGAAAAATGGTCTAGCATAACAGTGTACACAGATTTCCTAGCAGCAAACTTAGCAATTGATTCTCCAAGCAGTATTTGTTAATTTTTTGATTCTTTCTTTTTGCATTGTTGGTGATGAGTATGCTGGAAGTTTTATCCAAAGAAGAAACTACCTTCAGTCATTTCCCACTCACCCCCATTGTAATCACCAGACAACAAAAATAAGCAAATTAAACTCATCATTAATTTTTTGGTTTCCCTGTGCCTTTTCTGTAATTATTATGATTCTAATTCTTCTGATTGAACTTTCCTTTCTTCTAACAAAACTTTATGAATTTAAGTGCGGTACTAGATTGGTGGCAAGGTCTCATCATTTAACAGTTGAAATTGCTAAATGGAACTGTAGCTTCTATGCTAACAATTTCCTCTATTGCACTTCTCACTTGTGGAACTCTCTTCCAGCTTGTTGCTTTCTAATCAAGTTTATCTTCAAAAAGTTAAATGCATTGTCAATTATTACTTACTCCCTTTTAATTCTTGGTTTTTTAATGTTCTCTCTACTTTTTTTTTCTCTTATTCTCTAACACTCAGTAACACCTTGCATCTCGGTGGCTTTATTGCCTTGCTTGGGAGTAAAAAGATTAAAAAAAATTAATGATGAGTTTAATTTGCTTATTTTTGTTGTCTAGTGACATGTATCTATATATAACATGCTGTCTCAAGAAAACAGTTCTTATACATATAAAATAAATGCATTGCCAAAATGGATAATGAAGATTGTTTTATATGAATATAATACTTAACAAAATGCTTCCTTAGTGATGTCTATTCTGGGTTCATAGAAAGTTTTCAGTTTCCAGAAAGGATTGATAAATAAGGCTTGACAGCTATTAGCTGAATATTGATCTGAAAGTGTTTGTGTATAATGTTTGATCTATATGATTAATATTAATCACTGATATGAGTTCATTGACAAAGAAGGAAGTTATTTTGAAATTAATTTATTAAGAATTAAAAAGTGTCAATAGCAGTTCCACAGGGAAATTGTTCTCCCGACATCAATGTTTTATTATACAAAAAAACACTCTTAACATCTCTTGATAAATGACTAAAAAAAAAATTGTCTGCAGAAGCCTTTCACTCAAAGTTAATTATGTTGGCCTTTCATCGTGGAAAATAAATATTAAATAGCAGTATTAATTTTTGTCAATATTAATTGGCTAATATTGTTATTGATTTAAAAATTACATTGATAACTTCTTCATTAATCAAAGGATTTTGGGAAATGGTGTTGCTTGCAATGAAGACAAACCAACAGTAAATGTGTATTTTTTTATTATTTAAACTGTTTTTAATTTTAATTTATTAACATGTAAATAATTGGTTCTAGTCATGATTTTTCAGTTTTTACACCAAGTCTTTTTCTAAAAATCTAGATTTTTGTTTTCAGAAAGATATGAAATAGGAATTGGTCTCTGAAGGCATTTGTTCTGAAAACTTTCTTTTTAATCATTTCACTTCATGCAAAGTAATAAAGCCACTAAGATACTGAGTGTGAAAGAATATAAGGAAAAGAAAAGATTATTAAGGAGAAAGAATTATAAAAAAAAAACAGAAATTAAGAATACAGAAGATAAATATTGACATTTCATTTCTCAAGACCAAAAAATGTGTTGAAGAGATATATGAAGTTAGTTGTAATAGAGATATACGGGATTGTTTGTAGTGGAGAGGATTATTATGGCTGTCTTGATAAAGTCCATAGAGGATGAAATGTGTTGGTAAAGAAAAGTTTTCCTTTTGTATTTGTATTGTCTTTTTACAGATATATTTTATTTGTATCTGAATTTTTACATTTCTTTTAATCATTTCACTCCAAGGAAGACAATAAAGTCACTAAGACACAGGGAGTTACTGAGTGTGAAAGAATAAGAAAAAAAATAAAAACATTATTATGGAGCAGAAACAATAAAAGAAGAGGAATCAAAAAGACTGTAGATAACAATTGGCATTTCATTTAAATTTTTGAAGATCAAAGTTGACTGGAAAGCAAGAAGCCAGAAAAGAGTTTGGCAAGAGTGTGAGAGAAGAAACTGTTAGCATAGAACGTACAGATTGAACTAACCATTTCAACTGTAAAATGATAAGCCCAATTATCGTTACAAAATTTATAGAAAAGGCATAGTGAAGCTATGTTACTTTATTTGTTAACATTATAAGATGACAATATTTAAATTTTTAGTATAGAACTTTTGCGACGTCAATGAATACTCATTGCCACTTTTGTGATTTCAACGAATATTCAATGTCACTTTCATAATGCTCATTGTATTAGAAACTTTGTAATTGCAGATACGACTATAGTACACCGTTGAACAATGCTGGTGTCAGATGCCTTTGAATATGACTCACACTAATAGTACTTGCTTGAATAGTAATCCATATAGGGATCTGAATAGAGAAATAGTATAGTGAATAGAGTAGAGAATAGTGGTTCATATAGTAATAGAGGATAGAGTAGAAATAGTGATCCATTTAGAGGATAGAATAGAAATAGTGATCCTCTAGATATCATGCAACTTCCCATATATGGGTTTCCTCTATGGTCACTTGGTCTACTTAATTCAATATGGGATCACCTGTGTTTCCTCACTGGTGATCTATGTTCATACTCAAGTGTCGGCAGTGACACTTTATTTCTATATAACAAGAACACATTTGGAATTTTTAGCATGAATAATTAGCATTTTTATGTAGGATATATAAATGGGATATCTATTTATGAATTTGATATATTTATCTGACTCTGATGAACAGTGTATCTGTAAAACTTGAAGTTGGTATTAAGGTAATTCTTAAAAAATTTTTCTGTGTATATTAGCTGAAAATGAAATATTATTTCTTTTTGCCAACAAAAAATAGGAAATTATATTACATGTAATTATATACAAATATGGCAATAAACGTTTTTTTTTCACTTTTAAGAAATTAAATTTTTAGAGCAAATTCCTGCTAAAACACATTTCAAATTTTCCGTCTTTCTGAAAACATATATTTTTGTTTTCAGAAAGATTTAAAATTTAAAAAAAGACTCGGTGTAAAGACTGAAGAATCATGAATAGAATCAAATATTTATGTTTGAATAAGATTGAAATTAAATTTAAAAGCAGTTTAAATAAGCAAAAAAAATGCAAATTCCCAGCAGTTCTGTCGTCATTGCAAGCAACATTGTTTCCCAGAATTCTTTGACCAAACAACAAGTTATCAATGCAATCAAAATGATTCTTCCCTTGTGTAACCAAATTTTAAATGCGAAAAAAAAAAAAAAAGTAAGGAAAAAAAATGGGGCTGAATTGAAAATGGAATAAAAAGATAATTGCAATGAAACAAGAAAAAATAATGATGAGAGAGATAAGAGAAAGCAGGAAAACATCAGGTCAGTGTTTGAGTCATGTCATCTGGTGGTATTCAACCCCCCCCACACACACACACACTAAAGAAAATCAATGTCTAATTTACAAAACACAAGATAATGGATTAAGGAAAAAAATAAAATAAAAGATATGAAAACTGATGGCAGCAAGAGAAATAAAAGATAACGAAAAATGCTTGGAGAACAGTTAAAAGTTGCTTTAAAAAAACAAGAAAAAGAAAGAAAAGAAAAAAGAGAACAAATTTTTCAAAAGAAAGAATTGAATAAAGTCAAGTCTTGGTGACAGGAAGAGTTTGGGGAGTCAATGAGACAGATTTATGAAAGACTAGAAACAAATTCCGAAAGATAATGGTTCGCATGCTAAAGAAAAAAAAAATGCAGTGTAGAGGATGCTAGATATGCGTAGATTAAAAGTGAGTGGACCTAGTGAAAAATGATTGATGAAGAAGATTTTAGATTTGGGAGATGAACAAAGGAAGGAATTAAGTCAAGAATTGTTAAACAAGGCCTTAACCTGACAGCCATTAGATGAATTTTGATCTGAAAGTTTTGGTGAATAATGTTTCACCGATATGATTAATATTAAACACTGAATTAAGAGCATTGACAAAGAAGGAAATTATTTTGAAATTAATTATAAAATAATTTTCTTATGTGTTATGCTTGTTTGTTGGAAATATTATCACTGAATTAATTGTTTTGACAAGGAAGGAAATTATTTTGAAATTAATTATAAAATAATTTTCTTATGTGTTACATTTGATTGTATGGAAATATTATTATCACTGAATTAATTGTTTTAACAAAGAAGGAAATTATTTTGAAATTGATTCTAAAATAATTTTCTTATGTGTTACATTTAATTGTATGGAAATATTATTACCACAGAAGTAATTGTTTTGACAAAGAGGGAAATTATTTTGAAATTAATTATAAAATAATTTTCTTATGTGTTACATTTGATTGTATGGAAATATTATCATCACTGAATTAATTGTTTTGACAAGGAAGAAAATTATTTTGAAATTAATTATAAAATAATTTTCTTATGTGTTACATTTGATTGTATGGAAATATTATTATCACTGAATTAATTTTTTTAACAAAGAAGGAAATTATTTTGAAATTAATTATAAAATAATTTTCTTATGTGTTATGTTTGTTGGAAATATTATCACTGAATTAATTGTTTTGACAAGGAAGGAAATTATTTTGAAATTAATTATAAAATAATTTTCTTATGTGTTATGTTTGTCTGTTGAAAATATTATCACTTAATTGTTTTGACAAAGAAGGAAATTATTTTGAAATTAATTTATTACATAAAATAAATTTTTATATTTAATATTTGATCCATTTAAATAATATTTATCACTTAAGTTCTTTCCCAAAGAAAATCATTTTGAAATTAATTTATGATATTAAATTAATTTTTTTTCATTATTGAGCCTTTAGCAACCTGCCCCATAAATACCGGTTCTCAATGCTCCACCTACCATAATCCTGCCCCATGTATACTCTGCCATAATATCCGATGACATCATCGTAAATAATGCAATTGATATTAGGTGAAGCAGAGAACTCTATTCCCTCACATCAACTCTGTACCTTGTTTCACTGATAGTCTGGCATGACTTTGAGTGCAAAGACTATTTTAACAACATCTGGCATGAATTAAATACTATATCTGCAATCTTGTGTCCATCATGACTTAATTCAATGCAAAATTAATAAAAGTGAAAAAGACAAATTAATGAAGAACGAGGACAAAAGACAGAAGTGGTTAGTACTCTCAAGTTATTACTAATGTTTTTTATATTGTTTCAGTGCTCTGAGTATGTAGCCTTGTGACAGACCTGGCTTAGTTCAGAAAATATAATGTTAATAAACAGAGTAGTAAAGATTCAGTTTTAGTAAGGAAAGAAAATAGAAATGAGCGGAGATACTAAGGAAGGAGAGGAAAAAAAAATGGAAGGAAGGAGAGGAAAGAAAAATGTAAGGAAGGAGAGGAAAGAAAAAATAAATTTTAAGGAAGGAAGAAGTAAATTTGAAAAAGAAAAAATTTATGAAAGAAATAAAGAGCAAATTTTTGGAAGAAAAATACAAAACAATTTCTTTCTTTCTGAAAGAAATCTAACAACATTCTTTTCTATTTAATGTTCACCAAAAAAAAAAAAAAGACTGATAGATCAAGTAATAAAATTAAATGAAATAAATTGTCTGAAATAAAAAAACTGAGATTTGAAAAAAATGAAAAAAACATTTGAAAAATAAAAAAAAAACATTTGAAAGAATAATAAATAAAAACATTTGAAAAAAAAGAATAAAAAAATTGAAAATTCAAAAAAATGTAAAAAATAAAAAAGTGTAAAAATAATAAAAAAGAAATTGAAAAAAAAATAGTTTTTAAAATTCACAGTGTTACTTATTTATTCCCTGGATGTAAATAAAATAATTGTGAAAAGATAAGTGAGAAATTTGTATTCTCAAATTAAAGTTAAAATTTATTTTATTTTGACAAATGGAGGAAACATGGAAAAATCTCTCTTGATTTGGGTAGGGAATGATATAAAAGAAACTAGAAAAGAAGACAAGAAAAAAAAACAGGCAAATGAGAAAGAAAGAATCAATCATTGAATGAAAGTGAGAGAATGATGAAAGGAATCTAAAAGTACTGAATTGAAGGATATCTTCCAAAACTCATTTCACTTTTCTTTACTTCTGACGACTGAAATCATCCATTCCTTTACGCTCTCACTTTGTCCTAATTTCAAATTTAGTTGTTTTTTAATATTCTTTCTATCTTTCTTTTACATTCACATTTTCTTTTTAATTTTTCAATTACCTTTTGTTTCATTCCTATAATTTATTATTGCTGTGCATTTTTTTAAATGATTTTCTCAATAAAAAAAAAATAAAACAACTGCTACTATGACTAATATTAATCATAAGCATAATCCTCCTCCTACTACTATTAATAATAATAATAATAATGACAACAACAACTTTTATTGCCATGAACTTCTGATTCAGAATTTAATATGTAAAGTGCAATATTAATGGAAATGAGAGTATGAGAACTTGAAAGAAACAAAAAAGAGAAAAAAAAAAGATACAAGAAAAACTTTTTTGACAAGAATAAATTTACTGACTCATAGTTACCCAAGAAAGAAGCCAAGGTTTTCAAATTATTTTACAGGTAAACAAACATATATGCAAATATATATTCTTCGCTATGGTACCAAGATTTACCATAGTTACCATTTGCCAAGTTAAGCACAATACTAGACTGGTGTCATGGCCTCATCAATTTACAGTTGAACAGGCTAGATGTAACCCCAAAATTCTATGCTAACAGTCTTTTTCCTCACACTTCTTACTGTGGAACTCACTTCCGGTTCCATGCTTTCCAGCCAGCTTTAATCTGCAAAAATTTAAATGCAATCTCAATCGTTGTCTATTGTCCTCCTGATTACTCTCTTCTCTTTCTGCTCATTATAAAGATTTCTGTTTGTAATTCTCCCACACCTAGTAAACCCTTGTGTCTCAAGGATTTACTGACATACATGCGGTGATACTGATTAAATACATACATACATCCATATATATATATATATATATGTGTGTGTGTGTGTGTGTGTGTGTGTGTGTGTGTGTGATAAAACACATTTTTAAGGTATTCTATATGTATGAATTAAAATGCTTAATATCAGGGATAAAGTGTATGTAAATATAAAAGTGAATTGTGTTTAAGCATAAAACAATGTGTCGCCTCTTGGTGTTGACTCTTATGTTGGCATAAAAACACACACTCCCTCACTCACACACACACACACACACACACGCATATATATATATAGGCATGTCTGATTGAATAAATTACAGACATTAAGTCTGCTAATTTTTAACAAAATCCGTTCATTCTCATGAGTAACTTTCCATGTATTGATGTTAAAGATGAGAGAAATGTGCTATAACTGTTTAAATTTCTTTTATTTTCATTTCCCAAGTACTTTCGATCTTCTTCCAAGATCATCTTCAGGGGTGCAAGTAGTCCAAAATTTTATGTTGTTCATTAGTACAAGCATTTATATAAAGTTGTGCTTTGTTATCCATTACTGTATTTTTTCATTATGCTTTTAAATGCAAAACAGTTGACAATGACCATGATATTATAACATGAAAAAAAAATTCCATAGTCGATAATTTTTCATGTACTAATGAACACTCAGCACAATAAATTGCATTAATTGTTTTTATATATATATATATATATATATATATATATATATATATATATATATGTGTGTGTGTGTGTGTGTATATATCTATATATGTATATATATCTATATATGCATATATACACATATTTAAATTACAATAAACGTGCAATCAATTTACAAATACAAAATTATTCACACAAAACTAATGCAAAATGTTAATGAAAAAGAAATGGCAAACATCCATCTACTAGCGTTGCTTCAAATATTACACAAAACCTTAATATCCGTTATGAATAGAATTGATCCTTGTTCATATAAATTTCTGCCGTATTAGTTATTATTTTTACAAAAAAACAAATACAGACATCTTCATTATATAATAGATGTTGTTCTTGTTTTTTTGAACAGAATAAGAGGACATCGAAAATAATGACTAATTGTATCAAAAAATTTATTGAAAAAAATAAATTCAAAAATCAAAATTCATGCTTTATCAATGCGTTCAAAATCCAATTTTGTTTTCAATATTTGAATTGTTTAAGATGGATGTCTCGCCATTTAAAATCATTAACCTTTGCATTAGTTTTGTGTGAATAATTCATGTATATATACACATATATATATAGATATGTATGCACATATATAGATACATATACATAGATATATATATAATAATAATGGACTCTCCCGTTGGTTTCGACATATGAGGATATGACAGCTTAGTTGATTCAGTTATGAAATTTTGTGCGATAATCTTAAGTGGCATTTAAGACCTGCTAGTGATTTACAAAGGAGGCCACATATGTTGCAAGAGTGAGGATTGTTAGATTGGCTGACCATTTAGTTCTTGCTCTTGCTTCTTGAACATGATTCAGAGAAGCAGATTGAAAACCGCTGAGTCCAGTAAAACACGTTGATCTCCATTCTACCCTCTCCAAGACTAAGCACTCAAGAGTGTTATGTAATAAGAACAAATCAAGGTAAACCACCAGAAAACCTACACAAGTGATTTGATTAAAGTGGTGAAGGCTTGTGCAGAACCATCCACACTTTTTGGAACTATTGATACACTCAGTTGGTGCAAATAAATGCCACAAACAAAACAGACAATAGACCTCAGGCTTTTCGTGTAAGAGTTTTCCATCTCCTAGACCAATCGTGTTCTATAACACTAAAGAGCATGGTCAGCCCTGGTAGACACTATTTTCCCATAGCTTGGAGCCTAACAAATATATATGCACATATATAGATATATATGCTGATATATATATTTTAAAATAATAAGAAAGAACAGTAACATTTAATCCAGTGTTCATAGCAATTATTTTTATTTTTTTAAAAATGTTCGATACAAACAGTAGAGTAAAAATAATGTGGATTTGTTTTTCTCTCTTTTTTAATATATATATATATATATATATATATATATATATATATATATAATAAAATGGGAAGAATTAAAACTGATTTAAAATTTCAAAACCAGCAATTTATCTTGCTTAGTTAAGTTTCTATTACTTTGAGCACATTTTTAGCTTATAAAATTGTTTCAGTCATGTACCTTATGAAACTATTATTATTTATTGAGCTTATATATAAACTCAATAGATGTGTTTTTGTGTCTATCCAAATTTGGGTTCACCCTATGTATATTATTTTCTATCTATATCAATATATACACAAACTGAGACACACCTGAAGTAACATAATGGGTATACATTTATGACTGTGTATAATCATAAAAACACATTTATATATGTGTGTACATGTGTGTGTATCTTAGTGAATGCATTTTCTTAGATATGACTTCATTTTGCAAATTATCTTACAATCTTCATACAGATTTAAATCTCTACACACAATGATGTATAAACACTTTCCTTATATATCTTCATAGATATATGCATGGAATCAAAATTACATGCAAACATGGTTCGAATTCTATGCCAATAATTATTCATTCCTCCATGTTAGAATTTCAGTGTCTTTTCTTCTCCTCTTTTTATTCCCTCCACTGCCGGCAATTTCTGCTGGCATCTTCATCTTTGCCTGCTGTTAGCAGAATGTCCAAGGTGATAATTTTCTTTTCTCCAGTTCGTGTGCTGAAGCATTTCACAAAGAAGTGCTCATTAGACAGATATTTAGCTGAAGAAATTCTTGTTGGTGAATCAGAGTAATAATAAAGATTAAGGCAAGTGGAGGAAAAATAGAAATAAGAAAAAACAAAATGGCGAGATGTGGAAAAATGAGAGATGATGAGGAAGAGGCTGAAAAGGAAAGAAGAAAGGGTGTTAATGATGAGGACAAAGGTTATGAGAGTGGAAGATGAAGAACAAGTAAAATGAAAATAAGGGGAAAACTGGTTATAAAGAATAAGTCGGGGAGAGAAGGAAAAGGAGAATGCAAAGAATGAGAAAGAGAAAGAGAAAGAGAAATAGCAGAAAAGAAAATGGTTAAAGACAAAAAAATGAAACAAAAAAAAATAGGCATGTTGTGACATAGATAACAAAGATGAAGAAACTGAAATACTACTATTACTACTAAACTAATTTTATATCTCATGTATTATGTGACTCCCTTAAAATTAGCTTCAAAATTAGGTCTTCAAACGTTCCAAGATACGTGAGTATGTACGGTATATTTTTATTTACACTATTAATATTTGGGCTACTGTCTTCATCTTTGCCGTTGGTATCACAATCTAACCAACAGGGAACTCTGAACTGAACCCTTTATTTAATCTATGGCCTTGCTCTCCTTTGTTTGAGGATTTTTTTGAGTCTGTCATCACATTATTTGTAGTTAGAACAGATAAATGAGACATTATTATTTTTTCCAGTTTTTCTATCTTTCGGCAACTACCACAGGGTACTATGGCAGTAGACTGTTCTTGTTACACTATTCATGTCTAGCGATACTGTCTATTTTTTATCTTTATTTGATACTGTTAAGTTATTGCTCACTCATTTCGAGTGAGTGCAAGTACACATTCCCTGACCCAGGGATTGAACTCACAAACACTATATCACCAAACTTACTGTGTGTAATTGCTTTCTTTGAAAACGGGAATACAATGACTGAAAAATACTAAATAAAAATAAGAACTAGATGATATTCCTAGACATGAGAAGTGGAGAAAGAACATTTATAGATTAAATAAAGTGTTCAGTTCAGAATCCATTGTAGGTTACCAGATTCATATACACTTGAGGAAGGCCTAACAGTTGAGGACAATAATGTGAATATAAATAGTGTAAATAATGATAACCCCACATCCCAGAAATTCTGACAAAAAATATGTTTTTAATCAGATGATATAGTAATAATAAGATGCATTAAGTATAAGCTATAATAATAAGAAGAAGAAAAGGAAAAGGATGATGAAGAATGAGAAAATGAAAACAAAAAAACTGAATAAAAGAAAGAGGTGAATGAAGAGAAAATGAAAAACTTTTCAAAATTAGAATAAGGCAAGAAAAAAAGATAAAATAGAAGAACCAAAACAAACAAGGACAAAGTGAAAAGATTTTCACAAATAAAGAATTGCATTGATATATATATATATATATATATATTAAAGATATTTTTTATGTTTAACATTGTTATTTTATAGATACAAGTATTTAAGCAAATGCTCTGTTTATGATAAACAGTATTAAATAACATTTACCGGCCTGAATGTCCGAGAAATTTTCATAGAAAATATTCGTTCTTTGACAGGATTTGAACCTGCATCCTATACGGAACTGTCATATATGCTGACATGCCTTACCTCTAGGCTACAAAGAACCGTTTGGTAGACAAGGTCGAATTTACTGCTTATAAACTCCAATCTTCCATGAATCTCATACATTCATAACTGCTCTGGCGTATCAAATGTATCTTTGTAGCCTAGAGGTAAGGCAAATCCAGCGTATATGACGGTTCCATTATAGGATGCAGGTTCGAATCCTGTCAAAGAACAAATATTTTCTATGAAAATTCCTCGGACATTCAGGCGGTAAATGTTATTTAATACTGTTTATCATAAACAGAGCATTTGCTTAAATACTTGTATCTATAAAATAACAACGTTAAACATAAAAAATGTCTTTAATAAATAAATTGTCGGACCTTGTCCATTTCTTAATATATATATATATATATATATATATATATATATTTAATTAATCCCATTTTTCCTCTCATTTCATTGTTGCCTGATGATCCGGAATCCTTTAAAAAGGATTTTGGTGAAATAAATTATTGTAATGGTACCTTAAAGTGGTCTGTTTTTCATTGAATATATATATATATATATATATATATATATATATATATATATATATGAATATGAAGTGATAAAAAAGGCATATATTAGTATGTCAGATTGGATTGCATAATACAAAGTGTCCCAAAAACAATTGGCATCATTTTGTAGTTTAATAACAGCCAATTCCTTCTCAAATGTTGACATAATGTGTAAAAACTAAGCTGACTGTGTGGACTTATCTCAGTGAGAATCTACCAGGAAGATGAATCAGGTGTGCCAGTGATAATGACAATGTCCTGTTGAAATGGTCATCACAATCACCTGACTTGACACCTCATTATTTTTTCTATGACAATATGTGAAATGACATATCTATATCTCCACTTCTTCCTACTAACCTAGAGAATCACTGAGGTACTGGAGAATGTTACACAAGACATGCTACAGCATGCTTGACAGAAGCTGGCCTACCAACTTTGCATGTGCTGTTTCACAAGTGATGTATATATTGAGCATTTGTGAAGCTTAGTGAAATTGATTATAAAATCTACATCCTTTTGAATATCATGTTTGAATTTTTAATGAATTAATCTTTTATTGTTTTTCATTAAGTATATTTAATTGCATTTGCCTGGGACATGTAGTTACTCAGATATTCATATTTTAAATTATATCATTTTTTTGTGGGGACACTCTGAAGAATATTTTAATAATAAAATTGATTTTTTATATCAGTGTATTTGAATAGTGTAAATCTTTTTAAGAAACCAACATTTATGAACGTGTTTTAAATATTTCCACCATTCTCTGTGATACTGGAATTATTATCTTAGAAAAACCTTTAGAAAAGGAAAAAAAAACTGCTTTCATGAAAACACTATAATTGAAAGAGAATTTGGTTGTCTTATTAGTAGACTATTGTGCCATTTAAAGTTTCATATCCAGACGTTTTGTAATTTTTTTCTGTTATTGATTTTGATTGTTATAAAAATTCACATATTTTCGTTTGATATTTATTCTTTTTCTCTGAGCTTATTTTTTTATCCTTGTTAAAATGCTTAAACAATATTTCATGACTTTTGCTTTCTTCTATAAAAGAAAATGTGGTGTTGCATTAAAAAAACAAAAGAATGATAAAAAAAAGACAGGAAAAAAACATCGCATGGACTTTAAAACAAAAATTTTCTATCAATAGTGTTTTAAAGGTCAAGGTTCACTTGGTAACAATGTCACTTCAATAACTTAGTAGTTCAGTCTTTTTTAAGATAGAGTAATTCATAAGCTGAGAATACCATGGATCGAACATGTGAGCAGCGACAAAGTTTTAAAGAAAATGGAAAAAAAAAATACTTAACATCAGAAAGAGAAAGTTAAAATTTTGCGAGCACATAATGAGGAAAGTGGTCCAAGCGCCCCTTCCTAATTATGTGTCCAAGGAATTTCAGCAGTCTTTTCCTGATTTTAAGTATAGTGTTCTATAGGAGGCAAGGTAGAGTAATGGATAGCAGCTCAGATTGAGGAATCGGAGAGCCAAGTTCAAATTCCAGTTGAATCCATTACATTCATTAACATGCTAATACTCTTGGGAAAGGTATGAATCCTCCTTTTTTCCCCACAGCTATGGGTAATTAGCAGGACTGACCGGGTTATATAGCCTTGGATGGCAGTTGGTCTAGTGCAGAAAGAAATGGCAACCTACTGCGGGAAAAAATCTGCCTCGTTAGTCATATATCAAAAGATACATGATTGCCACATGTGTATCACATGTGGCACATAACTGACTGATTCTGATGCCATTTTCTTTAAGACTTCTTCACTCTGTCTATAGAATTTTCTGCATCCTTCCATTGAACCACATTTCTGCTGTTTCTAGTTTTTTACCTCATCCTTAGGGAAATTGTCCAACATTTACTGCCATATACAAAGACAGATACCGCATAGCAATCCAGCAGCAAGCTTAAAAGCTGCGACTACAACCTATATTTCTATTACAGTGGTTGCTATGATCATGATAATGATGGAAATAATTATGATGATCATTGTAACATTATTGCAAATTGTAATGCAATAAAAATGAGAAATTTTATAAAAAAATCCAAGTATTTAATCATCATCAACAGTTTTATTACTCTGTTATGTTTATTTTTAGTGAAATTCAATTAATTTGATTAATTAGAAAAGATCAAACTCTACTAATTAACTTCCAAGCCTGAACAATGTAAACGGCTGTCATTACCAAGTTATAAAATGGAATTACAAGGTACCACCCACAGGAAACTAATAAGTATAACAAGAGCAATAAAATATAAGAATTTGTCAAGAAGAAGCAATAAATAATTAAATCAAATTAAACAGTTTATTTTCATAAATAATCTAAAAAACAACACTGAATCAAAGGTGATTTTTTTTTCAAGTATAGTTAAGCTCACCAATAAATTATTTAAAGTTATATTAACAATCTGTCCAAAAACACTTTCAGATGCAGTTGATACCACAGCATACAAATGCACCTTCAAACATCTTGCTGAGAAGTGCCGATCAGCTGATCTTGCCTCTGAACCAACTCTCACAGCTCAATGGGGAAAAGACTGGTTGGTGTCATTTAATATATCCAAAACTAATCTAGTAACATTTTATCATAGCCGAGCAGGGTTGAACCAATCCTGATGAGTGGTCATATCCTCAATGAGGCCTCATATGCCTACTGGGTCTAAAGATCATTCTTGATACCAAATGGAACGTATATTTGTGCCATCACAAAATATGATGAAAAAATGGTCAGTTTCTTGTATCGTTCCAAAAAATACTGAACTCCTAAGTCATGCTCTATCTTTCATCATCATCTTCCTTTGACTTGCATATGGTTGGCCTGAACTCCATTGACAAACCCTTTCTACACTGTTCAGTCCTACATTGCTGTCCCCAGATCCAACCTTGAGTCCTGAGCTATGGTGTCTGGGAAAGTCAATTTTCATGAGGAGACACTTCCAGAAGGATGCCATAGGAGTAAGGATGAGAAAATTTCCAAGTCCACTCAGTAATCATTCTTGCTTGAGCTTAAGAGAGGTTGGTCTCAGTTCTCGATAAATTGTGTTAAGCATTGCATGGGATCTCCAACTGATGTTCTGGATTTTTCTAAGTAGATTTGTATATGTTCCATTAAATCATCTTTCAAGATGAGCAGGTAATGTTCAAGTTTCTGATCCATACATTAGTACTAGTTCAATCAATGTTCAAAAGGTTTCAAC